CAGTTCAGGGTGGCAGTGGCTTCTCTTTGGCTGAGCTGAGGTGTTTCTCATTGGTTGGGCTGTTGCCAGGTGGGGACAGAAATCTTCCTTCAGCAGTAAAGTAGTTGTACTTCTTGTGGGAGATGCAAGTACATCTCTTTTCCTGTTTGGAGTAATTGATGATGTATGATAGGGTGTGAGAGTTTCCCTTCCAGGCCTTCCTGACTCCTCAATTTAGCTAAGGTTTCTTTTATTAATTTCCACAATGTCTAATAGATTTTCTGTAGGATAAACATTCACTGCGAAAAAATTATGAAATCCCAGGTATTGTTTAGATTGCTCAGTTTTAACAAAACATCAACTATTGTAATTTCCCAAATAGAAGAGCTGACTGTAGGATAGTCCTTCCTACAAAGAAACTTGCCCTTCCCCCAAGAGTCCTATAAGAAATTGTCATTATTATTGACTCTTTCATTGACTGATTACACATATCTTCATTTTCTTTTCATAAAGCATATGTGAGAAGAAAGCAACCTGGAATAAATTTGTGCTTTATCGTATAACTTTCAGTTAGCAGTCAATGTCAACTGTGGGCAAGGCTTGATCCAGGTTTTGTGGGGACTGAAACTTAATCAACTTGGAGGACCTTCTTTGAGGAAAAGAGTGCAAAATTACAAATACAAAATTATGTATGAAAATGAAACTTTATTTGGAGTGAGAGAACAGATTAAAACAAATCAGATTTTTTCTTCTCAGTTCTTTTTAGACTATTTACTGGAAATGCTTACATAGAAATGCTTCATGATTGCATTCATGACTTCTCCTCCTCAGCTGGACCTTCACAAATCCCAGCAACTCCTAGCAGCCACAGGGCTGTGCAAGGAAGCGGCCTGCAGGATTATCTGACCCTGACTATGAGGAAAATCTGTTTAACTGTTTTTGTTCCGTTTCTCTTCACTGGGGCTAACCCATGCAATTCTTTAAAAAGCAGAGAAGACTCTTCCAAGTATGATTGCTTTTTCAGTTAACTCCCCCTCTAGGGTAACTGCCAAGTGACATCAGGCAAGGGTATTCAAAGGATTCCTCTTATAGAGAGGTTCCTGTGCCTAGGAATTTAAATAAAATTTCCCAGAGGCTAGACCTGGAGGCTATTTGAAATGAATACCTGCCTTCCACCAAAGGTGATTTTTATTTTGTTTTGTTTTCCTGCTGCCCTTCTCCTCTTCTCCCTCAAGGCTGGAGCATCTTTCATTTTTTGGTCTCCAATTTCATTGTGTTATCACACGAAACTGGGGTTCTCCTACTTGATGTAGATAAACAAGTTAATTAATTATCACATCAGCTTTTGGGAAAAGAAGTCAGCTTCCTTCTGCGAGAGTGATCTGCAGGGAGACAAGGGGTGTGCCCTCAGATCTGTCTCCTCAGTTTAGGATTTGGGGCAAAATTTAAGAGATTAGGCAGAACAGGTTGTCATGCAGAAATGCTGGTGGGACAGGTTTTGATTGGTGGGCTTCAGGCATTTATGGTAAGGTTCTAAACATTTCTGGTATGGCTTTAAACATTTATGGTGAGGTGGGGAAGAAACTTTAACACTGGATCTTCCTGAATGATGGACTCCTCACTTCTGATCTGAGTCTGACATTTAGGGTCCAGTCACATCCTGGTCCTTTGGTTCTTTAGGGAAGCGACCCCGGTTCTGCGGTCATTTCAGGTCCAGATTTATTCTTCTGCACATGTTCTGGCTACATGACTTTGAAAGTTTTCTGAAAGACAATCCTATTTTTGGTGAGGAAGTTTTTCCCTGAGCTAACATCGGTTGCCAAACTTCCTCTTTTTGCTTGAGTAAGATTAGCTCTAAGCTGACATCTGTGCCAATCTTCCTCTATTTTTTTGTATATGGGATGCCACTTTGGCACAGCTTGATGCCTGGTGTGTAGATCCATGCCTGGGATCTGAACCTGCAAACCCCAGGCTGCTGAAGCAGAATGCACAGACTTAACCACTACACCACTGGCCAGACCCTGAAAGACAACTCTTAATCATTCTGTTGATAACAGATGGGGTCTGTTCAAACTGGCTCTAAATGGGCCTGTGGTTACTGCGTAAAGCACTGGTCCTCAAACCACTGCACACCTCCTAGGGAGCCTTCAAAACTACTCAACTGGGTTTCACTCCTGGGCGTTATAATTTAATTAATCTGGGGTGATTTTACTGTGCGGCCAAAGTTGAGAAGCATTGTCTAAGATCCCAGTGGACTGTATTTTTTTAAAGATCTATCTGCATTTTTTTTAAAAGGACAAAAATGACTGAGGATCCAGAGTTGAATAGGCATGTAAGACCCCACTAATTTGTGCACTTTTCTGCTGAAAAATAAAAAGACCGCCAGGTTATTTCCACATGGTTGAAGATAATTGGTATCTTATTGAATGATTCTTAAAATCAGTTTGGATATTATATATATGCTCTCAACCATTGAAAAGAGGCAGAATTTAAAAATTAACTTCATTCTGGTCTCTAAATTTACTACCCTTTCCAATTTTATTCAAACTACATGGCTAGATTTATCAAACTAGAAATTTTTGTTTTTTAAGATGTCTTAAAACTCTCTTTTATGATTCTCTTATTTAGGGAGAGTCAGTGGCAGATCATAGGTGAATGTGGAATAGAGTAAACCTGGGAGTGAGGGCTAGAAGCTGTGCTGTAAAGTAGAATGGCTAGAGAATAGCGTGGGGGCAGGCTGAATGGGAAAGCTGAGGTGTACGGCTGAGCCTACAATCCAGGGTGGACACTGAGCCCAAATGAAGGACGGAAGCAGAGTTTCAAGATGTAAAGAGGGAATGACAGTGTACAGAGTTAGCTTCTGCCATAGATCTAGCATTACAGTGATGGGACCAAGATAAAGAGATATCTTGGTAGGTGTTCCCAACAGCCCTAGAATAACTGAGACTTGATGCTGAACCCAGTGTTTTTATCAGACTTCTTTATGTGAGTGGGGATAGATGACCAGAAGGCATGATCTTCTATAGAGCGAGGCATGGTTCTGCAGGGGCTGAAACCGAAGCAAAGGGCCACATCTTTTTGTGAGTCATGCAATAAATGTAGGATGGCTTGAAGAGCATTTAAAATAAATGAAATTGAATAGAATTGGTAGAAAATGCTTCATAGAACTTAAATGGATGCACCTTGATACAGTTTGTGTGTGATAAGTATAGTTAGGACAGAAGGGACATATAACAAAGGAATTTTGATAATGTTTGGTACTTTTAGTTCTGGAATAGCTCAACAAAATTTGAATTGTGAGAAGGATAGGGGAAAACTAGGAAATTATTTCAAATGTCTCATCTGGGAGCTATGGAGAAAATGGGAGAAGTGTAGTATTTTAAAATTTTCATTTGGGGGGTACTGTGGAAGTAGGGAATGGAAATAGAGTGTCCTGGGAGAGAAAAGAGTGCATCTTTGTTGGATAAGGAGTTTTCTTATTTTTAAATACTAGCGAAGAATGGAGTCTTGTTGTGAGAACAGGAAGAGTGAAGGTGGCCCTCAAGGGAAGGAAAACTATACTAGGACTTCCACATTCCCAAGAGGAAAAGCAATAACACATAGCAACTTGATTAAACCAGCAAAAATAAGAAAATAGGTAAAAACAATGTAAAATAAATAACAGACTTGAACTAAAGTGAAAAAATAAGATAAACTGTTTAAATTATTATAACAAATGTAACATTTGTTAAAAATTATATCAAATCATTGTAACAAATCCAATTCTTCTATTGACAGAAAAATTGAGAATGGGCCAAAAAAATCTCTGAAATCCTGGTTAAATACAGCTTATAAAATTAATTAAAACCAAATAATAAATTATGCTGATGTGAAACATATATCTTTCTGTTTGTCATGTCAAAAAAATTGAAACCACTGTTTTAGGAAGTTATATAATTTTAACCTGAGAGTTACCTACTTAGTTGCTTGATTGGTTGATTCATATATTCTTTCATCTGCTCAACAATTATTTATTAAATCCTTAACATTCTCCAAGTATTGAGAAGTTTTTGAGTTACAATGATAATAAGGAAAACATGGTTCCTGATCTCATGGAGCTTGTCACCACACAGAAATGGGGGGCTCGCTGCTGGTGTACATAAAAAGCCAATAGTTATGGCATTGGCTTTTGAGAAAAGAAAAGGCATTATTGTGAGGTCGGTATGCAAGGAGACAGGACGCAAGGCTCTGAAATCTGTCTCCCTGATCCAGGGTTTGGGGAAACTTAAGAGGTTAGGGAGAAGAGGCTGGTATGTGGAAATACTGGTGGGGCAGGTTTCAGTTAGAAGACTTTAAACATTTATGGTAACGTGTGAGAGGGGATTTAAAACCAGATCTTTCTAAATAATGGACCCCTCACTTCTGATGAGAGTCTGGCTTTCGAATTCCAGTGGTGTCCTGTCTTTTGGTTCCATGAGGGGAGAATCTGGGTTATTTCAGGTCAAGATTTTTCTCCTCTGCACACGCTCTGGCTACATGACTTTCTGTTTTTTGTCTTGCTGCCCCTGAAAAACAACCTTTATCATTCTGTTGATAAGACGAGGTCAGTTTGAACTGGTCCCATGGTTACAAGCTTACATCCTAAAGGGATATAAATAATAAATAAGTATATTAAGCCAAAAATAATTTCATCTTATCATATAGCTTATGTGGGAAAGAATCAGTGTGCTTGCAACAGAATAACAGGAGGTAATGTCGTATAGAAAGTATGATCAGAGGTGACCGAGAAAGTGAACTTAGTTGAGTTGACTTCTTCTGTCAGATACATAGAGGTTCAGGATTTTTGCATCTCATATTTTATGAACTATTTCCTATTTCTCAGTCATGAGCCTCTCATAAAATTTATAAAGACAGTTATTTCATTTCCCTCTACAAAATGAGGGTCTAAAATTTACAGACTTATAATGGGCTAATCCATTTAATTATAATATTTGGAATCAAATCAGACTTATTTTATTTGCCTTTAAGTTTAAAAATACATCTGAAAGTAAATGAAAGGAAAAGAACCTCTAAAAAAATTTCTCTAAACCCGCCTTCTAAAAATAACATCAAAAAACCAAGTAATTAGCTAAATAGGCTTCATATTCAAAGAGAAATTACCAATTAACCTTCTCCTGGCCCCCTATCAGGAAAGGCAGCTGGAGAGTTGAAGAGTGAGGAATTCCTACAGAGGGAGGATGAGATCCATTTTGAGGGATGCCCTTGCTGGAGGCAATACTGACTTGAAAGAAAATCCCAGCCACTGATTCCACTTAAGTTTAGGAATCTCTTAAAGGCTGAAAGGAAGAGCTCTGTTTGCTGAGAGAAAAATAAACCATCAGGACAAGGAAGGGGGTCAGTTGACAAAACCTGCCCAGAGTCTGATCTGTTTTCTGTGAGTGGGTTCAGGTTTGGCACTGGATATGACCAAGAAGATTATGTTTTATTTTGAGCCCAACACTGGTGAGATGTCATATGCAAACACTGTCTAAGCTGTATAACCTTAATTTGCTGATAAGAAGAGGATATATTATTTGTGTTAGAATCAGAAGTCTTTCTGGAATTCTATATGCCATGCCTACTGTTTCTCCTTGGTGGGTTACACTGTCCTTATGTCACCTACAAGAACAGCACATTTTAAGAAAATTCTTACCTGAAAATTGAAAATCGAAAGCAAAGAGCTAAGTGCTCTCTTTTCATTGCTCCCCTAACACTATATCTATCCCTCTATTTTTTATATTTAATGATGAGTTTTGAAACTTTACTGATAAGTGTTTTTCTCTAGGTTATGAACTCTTTTGAGGGATCTTGTTTATCTCTGTAATATCACTGCCTCACGAGGTCTGACCTACTTAGAAAATCTTGAACTGAAAAAAAACATCGGGAATGCTTATTCACCTTATTTCAAACGTATAAACCCACTCCAACATGGGCTTTTGCCCCCACCTCTCTGACAAAACTATTTACAGTAGCCCCCCCATATCTGCAGTTTTGCTTTGCATGGTTTCAGTCAAACACAGTCTGAAAATATACATGGAAAAATCCAGAAACAAGCACTTCATAAGTTTTAAATTGCACGTTGTTCTGAGTAGCATGGTGAAATCTTGCACCATCCTACTCCGTCCTGCCCGGCACGTGAGTCAGCCCTTCGTCCAGTGTATCCACGCTGTGTGCTCAGTAGCCGTCTCCTTGATCAGGTCGCTGCTGCAGTGGCGCAGTGCTTGTGTTCAAGTAACCCTTACTTGACTCAATAATGGGCCCAAAGCATAAGAGTAGTGAGCCTGGCAATTCAGAAATGCCAAAGAGAAGTTACTGTTTATCTCTTACTGTGCCTAATTTATAAATTAATTTAATTAATGCTAAATTAATCTTTTTCATAGGTATGTATGTGAAGGAAAAAACATAGTATATGTAGACTTTGGTACTAGCTGTGGTTTCAGTAGTACTTATCACATTCTATAAAGTTTAAATGTTTCAGTCTTATCATCTGCATCCCTCTGCTGGGGTATAACCTCCATGAGGGGAAGAATTTTTTTGTCTGTTTCCTTCATTGTTGTATTGCCAGCATGTAGAAGAATGTTTGGCACATAACAGGCATTCGATGAATGCTTGTTAAATGGATGACTGGACAAAAAGAAAGGAATAGTTTATTTAGAGAGTTTGGAACAATTTTCTTTTATTTATTTAAATTACTGAAAAACTTTGTTTTGTGTGTGAACATGCTATATAGTTCCAGCCTATAGAATAGTCAGGTTCACAATTTAATGATGAGTAGGACAATTAATGTCATTAATTGAGACGCTGGAAACTCAGGAATGACTGGGAGAGGCAGTGAGTCAGAATTTAGACAGCGCTTTCTCCTTAGTGTATAGCAGAGGCTAGCAAAACCAGCTCAAGCAGGCCCAGGAGGCTGACATTAGCTTTCTAGGCACAGGTTGCAGTGAGTACAATTTTCCAAGTTTCATTCCTGAAGTTGATACTGGCAGTTGATCTGGGGAGACAGAGAGCACTGCAGAGGTGAATGGACAGTTAGGTGGGACATTGCTGAAGGACCTTACCAGTGGCCCATAGCAGGACAAGGGGTTGAGAGCCTTCCTGAGAATGGAGATTGGCAAGAGCTAGGCATGGTACCATAGGCTGAGCTTTACAGTGGTGTTCTAAAGAACCTGGAAGGGAGACACATCACAACAAAGGAGAGAGGGCTTAGTACTATCCTGTTCTGGAATCTGGGGCCACAGAAGATGGAATGAGCAGAGGGGGCTGGAAGTGCTAAAACTCTAAGAATATGAGGGTCATCATTTGTATTCTGGAATTTAGGATGCACTGATGAAGAAGAGATATGGGAAAGAAAATATAGAAGTCCTGAGATCCAGTCAAGACCATTAGCCCTGGGTCGGGGAACAAGGCTTTATGCTGTCTCACCAGACAAAAGTGGGGAGTCGGAGGAGAGCATAACCCGGGTAAATATGACCTGTTTCTCTTGCCATTAACTTAGTAGCATCAAAATACTTATCAAGCACTTCCTCTGTATCAGACACTGTATATTCATTTTCAGTTAATTGTTACAATGCTAATAACAGTTGGTATCCAGATTTAACAGAAGAGAAAACTGTGTGTTAATGTTGTTCCCAAGATCACATGCTTTGGAAGTGCACAGGATTGAAATTTGAACCCAGAGTGGTTAAATTACAAAGTTCTTGCTCCTTTCTATTTCTAGGTGGTTCTCAAGTCTAGCTGCCCATTAGAATCTCCTGGATAGTTTTAAAAAATAACTTATATCCAGACACCACCTCCAGACATCCTGATGTAATTTGTCTGACATGGGGCCCAGACCTGGGTATTTTTTTCATTTTGGTCATCTTCCTCAGATGATTCAAAAGTATAGTTGGGATTGAGAACTGCTGCTATACAATGCCGTGTGAGGGGGAGAGAGAGAATTCAGTGTACTGCAATGTCTTTAAAGTGTGGTCCAGGATCAACAGCATCAGTCTCATCTGAGATCTTGTTAGAAATGTAAAAACCTTGAATTAGAAAGTCTAGGGGTGGTGTTCAACAATCTGCATTTTAACAAGCCTTCTGATACACAGTAAAATTTGAGAACCCTTGATATAGAGGTTAAGGGCCTTGGATTTGAGCTCAAGAAGACCTAAGTTTCGACTGACTTTCAACATTTAACAGCTATCGACACTAAATCAAGTAACTCAACACCTCTAGGTCTCAATTACTCCAGATGTTAAAAAAAGGTCGTGTCATTTATAGCTCTGACAAATAATGGGAGACTTCGTGTATCCCATACCGACACTGGCCCATACCAAGTATTCAATAAACAGCAACTAATACTAAGGGGTAAGCATTTCAGAAAGAGTAATAAGTCAGACACTGAGCCTGTAAGTGAGAACCTAAATGAGCCCATCTTTAAAGATCTGGGGAAGACAGTTATGAGAATATAAAATAAGTAATCAAGAGTTGTATGTGCGTATTAAGCCTTAGAAGATTCTTAACAGCTAATATTGAAAAATGGACAAAAATATCCAGTCTACTGAACAGTTAAAGATTAACTTTCTGAACAGAATTGAGAATACCTCTTATGCAAAATGTTGGCTGTGTAATAGCTATATAATGAAAACTAACATTTCCTACTTTTTCATTTGACTAGATAAAAATATTGCTGACTTGCTTTTAGTTTGATCTGTTTAAATACTCTTTGAATGTTTACATAATAGATTTGGTCATGTGAAGTACTGATGACAAATGGGTTAGATTTGAACTTTGGGCTTAAGTACACTTCCTTTTTGAGCCAAACCTCATTCCCTTACCCCCTGATCTTAGAGATCAGAGTCTAAAAGCAAATGCTTGTGGGCACCGGAAGGAAGACATGTGCAGATAGAATGAAAGGATTCCTGAGAGCTTAAATTAGAATTTTTTACTCCTGGAATTTTTTCTTTTATAGTTCCATGACAAAAAACCTGTGTGTGTGTGTGTGTGTGTGTGTAAGATATCTGTAAAAGATTACTGACGATTATTTTCTACCCTAACTTAGAATGACTGTGTGTTTTATACATAGTAATTGTAACATAGTAATAGTAAATGGCCTCACCTCTATTGGATTGAGCATTACCACTGAAATTGTGATATGCTTGAGGAGGGGAGAAGATGCTGCAAGTAGATTGAATAAAATCCTGCAGATGTTTGCAAACTGTTGAGAAGAAATGAGAACTAAAACTCACTTGAAGGTAGATAGGTAGAAAAAGAAACAATTAGGCAAGAGGAACTCTCGACTTGAGAACATTTTCTGGGAAATATGACTGTAGGATACATTTCAAACTTACACTTGCACATACACGTGAAGAGGGTCCTGAAAACATGTCACAACACTTGAGAGAAGAAAACAAGAACAACTTACCCATTGACCTGAAAGTTCAGTCTTTTTTAATAGTACTCATGGATGTAGCATAAAATGACCTCCCTGAGTGGTTTATATCTAAGAAGACTTTAATAAGTATTCTGGTAGAATGTACAATTTTTATGTGTAGAGTCTCGAATGTGACCTTGACATTTATGTTGAAAAAGTAACAATCATTGGATCAAAAGACATACTGTAGTATAGCAATTTATGAATTGGGGTTGTGGAATCAATCCCATTGAAATTCTTTTTTTTTAAATGGAAAAATAATATGGGCACATATGCATTTGGGTGATCGAAAAGGGGGAGAATCTCAACTTATGCATGTAAGCAGTGTCCAATAATGCATTACTGTGAAATTTATAATATCGTGAGTTCTAAATCAGTACTCTAAATAAGGCAGTTACACCTTGATGTAAGTACTTGTACCTTTTTTCTGAAAAATATAGTCACTAATTTTCTCTTTTATATTTGTTAAAAAGAGAGATTTATAGTTTAATTCTACTATGGTTAACCTTAACTTGTCAGTAGATTATTCAAGATTTGTAAGACTATTTACTGTACTAATTAAAAAGTGAGGTTACCATAGTAACTAGTATATCCTGAATACTCTGCTTATGTAACCTCTGAGATTCAGAGTGGTTTCTCATCTGAATTTTTCTACCAGCTACACTGACTTCAGATGCTCTCTTGCACTTTGGACTATAAAGGAAAACATTTTCTTTACTGATTATAGAAGTTTGAGTATTTTTAGATTTTGTTTATAATGTAGACCAAGTGCCTCTGATATTTGGGAAGTTTTAAAGGTAGATATAATTTAAAAGCACTTTCGAAAAGACTGAGAATAGTAAAGAAGTGGTGGTGAAATATTTGTTTAAGGAACTGTGGACTTAGAGTTTCAATTTCAGAAAATGCCTTGAAGTAAAAAGGCTCAGTCATTTGATGAGTATGTTATTCTGTGCAATTCTTCTACCAGTGAGATCACATCTTGTTATTGGGAGACTATCTTATTAACTCAGAACATGTAAAGAAAAGGAAATCTTACTTAGCTCTTAATAAGGTTTGCTACAAATAATATATATGATTTTTGCAGTGAATGAGCGGACTTGCAGTTCTGGAAATTCAATCCACTCTTCACATAACTTGTATTCTTGCTGTTGAACTTTTCTATATGCTGTTAGCTCTGCTTAGGATGACTACAAAATTTCTGCACACTTACACCCCTACCTTGATCCTAGTAATTCTTGGCTTACTGGATTTGTCCTTTAGATCATAGCTGAGATGTCATGTTCTCTGGGAACATGGCCCTGACTCTGCAAGACTACATTACGGCTCCTCCTACATTCTTATAAGACTCTGGTTGAAGATGGTTTCATGCCTAATTGTAGTAGTTGGTTCACTTGTCTGTCATCCACTTTCTGAAGTGTCCTAGAGAGATAGACCAGGATCTTGTTATGTTCTGTGGGCCCAAAGACCCACTTAGTGACTGGCCGATAACAGGTTTTCAAAAAATATTATATTAAGTAACTATATTAGTTTCATAGGGCTGCTATGACAAAATACCACAAACTGGGTGAACAACAGAAATGTATTTTCTCCAGTTCTGGAGGCCAGAAGTCCGAAAACACAATGTTGGCAGAGTTGATTCCTACTGGAGGTTTTGAGGGCGAATCTGCTGCATACTTCTCTCCAGGCATTTGGCAGTTAAGCAATCATTGTCATCCCTTGACTTGTAGACAGATCACTCCAACCTCTGCCTCTGTCTTCATATGGTGTTCTCCCCTGTGTATGTGTCTGTGTCTTTTCCTCTTCTCATAAGGATGTTCGTGATATTAGCTTAGGGCCCCCCTAATTCAGTATGACCTTATCTTAACTTGAGTGCATCTACAAAGACCCTATTTCCGAATAAGGTCACAGTCACAGGTACAGGAGTTAGGACTTCAACATATTTTTTAGGGGACATAATTCAACCAGTACAGTAACCATCTAGAACATTTTTACCTTATGGCTGGGTTGACATAAAATACAATCTTCATCATGGGCAGGCCAGTCGCTAAGCTGCTAACTGGCTCATTATTTAGTCACTTAACAGGACAACATTCACGGAATGGAAAGTACTTGGTCCAATTATTTTAATGGTCTCAATGTCCAGACTTACTAGCTTTTTAGAGAATTTTATTTATTGATAATACACCCTTTGAGTCAGTTGCCAAATGTATGAACTAGTTTACTGTATGGGCACAGCTTAAAAATTCTCGAAAAGATAAATTCATATGCTGTGACTTCAGAAAGAATTAGGCCCAGATAACTGTGCTGTATTCGGGGCTGTTGATTCTTATGTGTGACTCAAAGTCTTATATTTCTAATTTGGGTCATCTTTATTTTTCACCCACTGACAGGCACAGGGAGAGGAGGCAATAGGAAAAATTATTTCTTGGCATTTAGCAATTAGTTGATTATAATGCAAATTTTATTCAAAGTAATATAAAATATGCATCCATTATTTTTGGTTCATCAGATTGGGTTATTTTTAATTTTAATAAGATGCAACAATAATTAAGCGATTTAAAATATATAATTTAGTACTGAACTAGTTTTTTAGTAGCGATGATTGCCAGGTTGCACATGAGGTTTCAGGGACATGCTCAGCTACAAGGTCCAACAGACAGCAGGCAGAGGATGGGAACTGGAAAGCAGCCCATGTTGTCCAGGACAAGAGAGGATTCTAGAATTCGAGGGAAAGGAAAACAAAGACCCAGCTAGCGCTAGAGAAAAGAGGGATTTGAGCATGTGTCTGTGCATGTGTGTGCCATGTGCCTGTGTGCATGTTGTGTATGGTCTTGGGTGAGGGGGTTACTGTTTTGGGATCTAATTGGGGTGAATGTGGGCCGCTGGAAATGCACATGAATGCCAGTGGGTCTGTGCATTTGCTATGTAAACGGACGTTGCTGCTACTGGTAAATGCTTCATAACTTCCAAAAGATACCTCTCCTAGATTCTCTAAATTGATAGGACTGAATTGTTTTAGAATTTAAGAAACTCTCACAGGGGTTTTCT